TAATAATTAAGCATAAAATTGTATATTTGGACGTTAAATGCTAAAAATGCAAAAGATGCCTATTTTTGTAATTTTTAATTTTTGTAAAACAAATTTAATTACTAACAATTGTAGAATTAAATCCTACATGCAAAATGCGACATATTTTGTATTTTTTATTAATTTAACAAATAAACATGCACCGACAAAATACAAATAATTATCCAAAAATGTCACAAAAATTCTCAAAATTGCACACCAAGGAAAATCATTTTATTTTAAATTTTTTGGGAGTAATTCTCATATAGGGCAAAAATCACGTGCTTACACACGTAAAAAATGTCAACCTCAAGAATAATGGTGAGAGGCATTTCATCCTTTTTGGAAATACCACCTGCTATCTGACTCTCATCACATCTCTTGAAAAGCTCACCAGCATCTTTATACAGAGTAGGCCGATAAAAACCAAATCTAAGAACCTTTGAAGTAGTTCTTACCCCACAATGATGACCACCGTAGGGCGAAGAATGACAAGCATCAAGAATACTTATTTTCTCCTCTTCTTGAAAACATCTCCAGATCACACCATTATTACAAATCTTGAAGAGATAAGGTTCGTCCCAGTAATAATCCAAGCTGTCCCGTTTAAGCTTCTTCCTTTGGTTAGAAGAGAGCTCACTCGGAATAATGCCGGTCACAAGAAATTGGCCACATCGGCGAACCAAGGCATACTATTCAAAGAAACTGAGAGGAGTTGTTCATCCGGGAATGCATCATTAATTTTGAGACCATCTTTGGGTCTCCCCTCCTCCTCCAAGCGGGACAAGTGGTCCGCCACTTGATTTTCACTTCCTTTCTGATCAACAATCTCTAGGTCATATTCTTGAAGCAACAAAACCCATCTTATCAATCTAGATTTAGAGTCCTTTTTGGTCATCAAGTAACGGAGTGCCGTGTGATCAGTGTGAACAATCACTTTGGTACCCATGAGATAAGGCCTAAACTTCTCCATTGCAAACACAATTGCTAGCAACTCTTTCTCCGTCACAGTATAATTAACCTAGGCATCATTCATAGTTTTGCTTGTATAGTACACCGGATGAAACATCTTGTTCACCCTTTGCCCCAAGACCGCTCCTACTGCAACGTCACTAGCATCACACATGAGCTCAAATGGCAAGCTCCAATTGAGTGCGGTGATGATGGGAGTGGTAGTCAATTTATACTTGAGAAGCACAAAAGCTTTCATGCACTCATCATTAAACACAAACTTTTCATCATTTTCCAACAATTTGCACAAGGGATTCACCACCTTGGAAAAGTCCTTGACGAACCTTCGGTAGAACCCTGTATGCCCAAAAAAGCTCCTCACTCCTTTGACGAAAGTAGGAGGAGGGAGTTTTGAAATCACTTGTCCTCGGCCATAAAGTGGCACTTTTCTCAATTAAGCACTAGATTTGTCTCCCTACATCGGGCCAACACTTTGTCAAGATTACCCAAACATTCTTCAAAAGAATCACCCACAACACTGAAATCATCCATGAACACTTCCAAGAAGTCTTCTACCATATCAGTAAATATAGCCATCATACACCATCGAAAGATAGCTAGTGCATTACACAAACCAAATGTCATCCGGAAAAATGCAAAAGTGCCATACGAACATGTGAAAGTGGTTTTCTCCTGGTCCTTTGGTGCAATCATAATTTGGTTGTAGCCTGAGTACCCATCCAAAAAGCAATAGTAGGAACACCTAGGAAGTCTATCCAGCATTTGGTCAAGAAAGGGCAATGGAAAATGATCTTTGTGGGTCACTTTGTTTAGCTTCCGGTAGTCCATGCATATCCTCCATCCGGTGATATCCTAATGGGGATCAACTCATTTTGCTCATTTGTGACCACAATCATACCCCCCTTTTTGGCACATATTGTACTGGTGAAGTCCATGAACTATCCGAGATGGGCTACACAACCCCTGTATCTAGCCACTTGATAACTTCCTTCTTGATGACCTCTTGCATAGCCTAATTCAACCTCCTTTGATGTTCCACAGAGGGTTTGGCATCATCCTCAAGTATAATCTTGAGCATGCAAAAGGCGGGGCTTATCTCCCAAATATCAGCTAGAGTCTATCCAATTGCCCTCTTCCTTCTTTGAAGTACCTCAAGGGTGGCATCTACCTGTACGTTAGTAAGGCAAGAAGAAAGAATAATGGGTAAAGTTGAACAAGTGCCCAAGAATTCATACTTGAGGTGTGGAGGCAAAGGCTTCAACTCCAATACGGGAGGCTCCTCGATTGAAGGCTTTGTTGGTGGAGTCTTTCTATTCTCAAGATCCAAGGAAAGTTTACAGGGCTCATAAGAGTAAGAACCCATTCCTTGCTAGGCATTTACATACTCAACCAAGCCTTCATCCTCGGTCACATCATGGTTTAACAATACAGCTTCCAAAGGATTCCACATTCATCATGGCACTCGTGTCATCAACTATCGCCTCCGTCACTAGATCCATAAAAAAACAAACCTCAGTACTATTCAGCTGCCTCATTGATTTGCACACATGGAAGACACCATTTTCGTCACGCACCCGGAAGGTGAGCTCCCCTGCTTCCACATCAACCAATGCATTCCTCGTTTCTAGGAAAGGTCTTCCCAATATTAGCGACACCTCATAGTCGACTTCACAGTCGAGAATCACAAAATTAGCAGGCAAAATAAACTTGTCAATACGGACAAGAACATCATTAATAATACCAAACGGCCTCTTCATTTTTCTATCGGCCATTTGCAATGTTATTGAAGTAGCTCTCGGTTGACCAATACCCAAAGTTCTGAATACGAAGTAAGGCATCAGATTATTACTTGCTCCTAAATCACACAAGGCCTTTGCAAAATCCGCACTCCCAATGGTACATGGAATGGTAAATGCATCGGGATATTCAAGCTTTGGAGCCATCGAGTGCACAATAGCACTCACTTGACGAGTCATTTTAATGGTCTCACAATCGATAGATCTCTTTTTAGTTACCAAGTTTTTCATAAACTTGGCGTATCCCGGCATTTGCTCAAGAGCTTCCACCAAGGGCACATTGATCGACAAACTTTTCATCATCTCAATAAACTTCTTGAAATGATTTTCATTCTTCTGCTTTGCAAGTCTTTGAGGGTAAGGTGGAGGAGAACTAGGCAAGGTAGCCTTGTCTTTAGGCATTACCGTTTCCGACATGTCTATCATGTGTTCCCTAGACGGGTTCACATCATTTTGAGTCTCCTCCTCATTTTCATGAATATCAATTCTCACCTCACCATTCACATTCTCTTCACTCACTTGCTCCGCAACTATTGGATCATCTTCATTTTGCACTTCAACATTATCACTCACAACTTCTTTTTGCTTGGAGGTACTTGCTTCACCACCTCTACCACTTCTTGTGGTTACCACCATTGCATGGCCGGTATTGTTCCCACCCTTCGGGTTTACTACTGTGTCACTAGGTAGTGCCCCTTTAGGGCGAGTGTTTAAAGCTTGTGAAATCTGACCAAGTTGAACCTCTAGATTGCGGATAGAAGTATTATGAGAAGCCAATTGGGCATCATAGTCGGCGTTATTCTTCATCATTTGCTCAAACATTGACTCAATCCTCCCCATCTCATTGTTGGACAAGCTAGGACCTGTTTGGTTGTTGAAACATTGGAGGCCTTTGAAAACCTGGCCCCCAATTACCTTGATTGTCGTTATTCCAACCTCCTTAGTTGTTGTTGCCACCCTAAGTGTTGTTATTACCCCAATTCTAGTTGTTGTTCCCCCAATTGTTGGAGTTGTTGTTGTTATTGTTCCAATTTCCTTGGCCTTGGTTGCCCCAATTCTGATTATTCCCTTGCTATCTCTATTGTTGATTTGGAGCATTACCTCGTTGTCCTTGATAGTTGTTGGCATACAAAACCTCTTCACTTTTCTCACAATACCCATCATACTGGTTGTAACCACTACTTCCTTGCTCATATTAATATTGATTTCCTTGCATTTGTTTCCCATGCTGTCTCCTCTTGTTTACCAATAGATTAATGCCTTCCATTGCGTTCACTTGCTTTGGTCCCAGAATCTGCTGAAGTTGTGCTTTGCCTAACTGGTTCATGGTTGTTGTCAACTCAGCTATGGCTTGTCCATGGTCTTGATGTTCCTTGTGAAGGTTTATGACATGAGTGTCCCCCTGAGAAACATTCGCCCAATGCTGCCAGGCTGAGGATGTGTCAGCCATCTCATCAAGAATCTCATAGGCCTCAGCATATGGCAGCTTCATAGAATTACCCCATGCTAGCTAGTTCACCACACATTGATTGGTTATGTTTATACCCCAATAAAATGTCCGTTGGATCATTTCTTCAGTCATGTCATTGTTGGGTCATTCCTTGACCATAGGTCTATATCTATCCCAGATCTCATGAAGGGGTTCATTTGGTTCCTGTTTAAACGCTAAGATCTCATCCCTTAATGCAGCCATATGTCTCGGTGAGAAAATATTGGCTATAAACTTGTCGGCCAACTCATCCCACGTAGTGATGGAATGGTTGGGGAGTCTTCGAGCCAGTCCAAAGCTTTCCCTCTAAGTGAAAAAGGGAACAATCTCCGTCTCAATGCATCCTCCAACACATTTGTTTGTTTGATATCCCAGCAGGTATCTACAAAGCCCTTTAGATGTTTATATGCATTTTGATGGGGAGCCTCTGTGAGGTACCCTTTTTGCTCCAATAAGGTAAGCATGACATTTGTAATCTGTAAATTTCCCGCCCGGATCTGAGGTGGGACAATTGCACTTGCGTACCCTTCATTTGGAAGCACCCGAGGAGCTACTCTTGGAGGAGCTGGGGGAGGATCTAGAATATTTTCATTGGCATGGTGGCCTCTTCTTTGAGCTTGAGGTACTAAAAACACCTCATCTTCACTATTATCATCTACCTCCTCCCCCGAGATAATATTTCTAATAGGATCATTGTTTGCCATTTTGTACCTGAATCGATTAACTCACACAAGTTAGTAAAACAGATGGAAAGAAAAACAAAACACGCAACTAATCAGATAGATAGCCAAAACCATTTAACTCCCCGAAAACCATTTAACAATGCCAAAAAGTGATCGTCTCCAACCTTACACCACTATATAATGGTGAGGAGTGGTCGATGCAGCTTTTACCCGAAAGGTCGGGATCGATTTCCACAGGGAGTTAATATTGGTTGGGAATTGGGTTTCTATCTAATCTAGCTATGCGTGTTGCTTTTAATTGCACTTTTAATAATGTTTGGAGTTGTTACTATTCTACTTTTAATGCTATTAAATGCTGAAAATAAACTAAGAACAATGTTTTTGTAAGGTTTTCTCAAGTGATAAAAAGCACTAGGGAAGTGACTTACACCTAGGCGAGTATCTAATGGGATATAAAATTTAGGACAAGCTTGTTATAGTTGGGGTCATGACATAACCATTACACATAATTACTCACTTTATACCTCTCGGTAGTTTGAGTGACTTTGCCCTAATTGGCTTTCTCAAGCCCAATTGGGTGTTCAAACAATGCAAGTAAAATTGGCTCAAGTCAGGTATTACTATCTCTAGATTTAACCCTTTAATTAGGGCTATCAATCTCTTGAATGCACCCCAATTCCTTGTTAGCCTAATTTTCCTAGACTTAGTCCCTCTTTCTCAAGAAGAGTCTAAGTCATAAAGGCATAAACCACTGTTTGCATCCACTAATTCTACAATTAAAGCATGAATCAAGCTAAATATCACTAACTCATAAACAATTAAGTCCTAAAATAGAAGACCCATCAAATACCCACACTGCGGTTGGGTCACAACCCTGGATAATAGGTTTAGCTACTCATAATAAAGGTAGAAATCAAAGATAAAAATGAAATATAAGCCATAAAAGTTAATTACAAGAATAAAATCTAAGATTAATGGCTAAATCTACTCTAAAATTACTCAAAGTAGAAAAATACGGCTATTCACGAGCTCCTTATTATAAAATATGCCCTAGAAATCTAAAAAAGATCTATTTATACATAGCTAAAATTACTAGACAAAAGTACCCCTATGGAGGTTTCGCTGTCAGCGCAATACTGAGCGCCTCAACGCTTGAACTTTCGCGGCCGTGCAAAAGCAATCGTGGACCGCGTTTCTTCCTTTTTGGACTGGGGATGGGCTTGATTTCGCTGGGGGTGTAAAAGAGACTGCCTCAGCATTATCTTCAACCGCGGCCGTGTAAAATGTTCGTAGAACACACTTTTCATTTGAGCTTACTTTGCAAGGGCTTTGAACCTTGATTACCGCTCTCAGCGGAATTTGCACCACGACCGCGTAAATTATTCCAGTGACGTGCTATTTCACAGCGGTTAGCTGTGTATGTCTGCATCCAAAACACCTTCTCTGAACCTCAATTCTGCTGTCAGTGTAATTGTGGCCGCCTTAGCGGTGAACCTTCACGACCGCTCTTTCTTTTGCTGTCAGCGCTTTTGTCTCAGCTTTGAACTTGTGCAGGTTTAACTCCTTTATGAGTTGGTTATGACTTTCTTGCTTTATTTTGGCCAAAACCTGCGAACAAGCACAATAAGTTAGTTTTCAAGAATATTTTACACATTTTTATCCAAAACCTAAGCAAAAGAGAGCATAAGATAGGCTATAATCCGTAGTTATCAACTACCTAATAGGATTCTGTTCCCCCGGGCTTCGATAGCCTGAGTCATTTGAGTTTGACTTGGGTGGCAGTCCTCGAGTGGGGGTGATCTCTTGGATCCAGATAGAGGCGGCCCTTGGGCTCGATATCCTTAAGGAACAAAATGTAATAGTCTTAAGGGGCAAAATATGTATCTGGAAGGTAGAAACTTTCTTTCATTCTTGTGTGCAATATACAAGATCTCAAGTGTGTACAAGCTTCATGTTATGGCTTAGGTGGTCTATGCGGGCACGGTTCATTTGACCATTTGACCCTTACAATAAATCTTATCTACCGAGCCCAAACTGTTCAAGCACAAAGTTTCTTTCCTTGCTAAAATCATTACTCGAGGGTGATAGACCCAAGTATTCTAGGTCAATCGTCGAGAGGGCTCGGATACTGTTGACGTGCCCATTGATTCCGATTCATAACCGGTCTTCGATTCTAAGTTAGCATGACCCGTTGTTTCATCATTAAAAACCTACCCATTTTGAGACAAAACCGATTCAAGGGGAAAAGACAACACGTGCTTTCAAGCCTAATAGCTGCACCATTCTTTGGTCGTTGCCTGTAAGTGTTAATCCACTTCTCTATATATGTAAAGGAAAGAATGAATGGGGTCGTACCTTAGCAGTAGTATCATTTTAAGTGGTTTACGTTCCAGTTGTTTGGTAGTCGCTCACTGTTCCCTACTTTGAGTTTGTATGAACCTTTACCGATAATCTCGATAATTCGATATGGACCTTCCCAATTCGGTCCCAGCTTTCTTTCGTTTAGGTTCTGGGTGTCAGTGTCACCTTTATTAACACTAAGTACCCAATATTGAAGTGTCGGAGGTTGGCTCTCCTATTGTAATACCTTTCGATCCGTTGTTTTTTGGCGGCCAATTGGACGAGGGCGGGCTCGCGCCTCTCGTCAATAGTTCCAGGATCATGCGTATGGCCTCCTTGTTTGACTCTTCGATCGCATATCAGAACCTGAAACTCAGTTCTCCTACCTCGACCGATATAAGCGCTTCGGCAACATAGACCAACGAGAATGGGGTGGCCCCGGTATTGGATTTTGAGGTCGTACGATATGCTCACAAGACTTCGGGCAAAATTTCCTTCCATTTTCCTTTGGCACCGGTCAATCTCTTCTTAAGGTTTTAGAGTATGGTCTTGTTTGTAGACTCCCCCTTCCCATTCCCACAAAGGTGATAGGGTGTTAATATGACCCTTTTAATCTTATGGTCTTCGAAAAATTTCTTCACCTTACTGCCGATGAACTACTTCCCGTTGTCACACACGATCTCGGCCGACATTCTGAATCGACATATTATGTGGTCCCAAATAAAATCAATAGCTTCATT